GAGAGTGTGAGTGTGTGTGTGAGTGTGTGTGTGTGAGTGTGTGTGAGAGTGTGAGTGAGTGAGTGAGTGAGTGTGAGTGTGAGTGTGAGAGTGTGAGTGAGTGAATGAGTGAGTGTGAGTGAATGAGTGAGTGAGTGTATGTGTGAGTGTGAATGTATGAGTGAGTGAATGAGTGAGTGAGTGAGTGAGTGAGTGTGAGTGTGTGAGTGAATGAGTGAGTGAGTGTGAGTGAATGAGTGAGTGAGTGTGTGTGTGAGTGTGAGTGAGTGTGTGAATGTATGAGTGAGTGAGTGAGTGAGTGTGAGTGAGTGAGTGTGTGTGTGGGGCTGTTACCCGCACGTTCCCCTCTGCGCTCAGCTGTTTGCGGGGTTTGTCTGGTTCTGCTCGTGTCCCGTCAGCGTACGCATGCATGTAGAAACACTTCCCTCCAAACGGACACGTTCCTCTGCCCTGGTCGAAGTATTTACAGGGCTTCTTACTGCGAACACAGAAACACATTCAAGCAGATGACCACAAATCCTACAAACAATGAACAAACACGGGTTTGAACTGTCAAAGAAATCCGTCTGCATTCTGCCAATATGATATAAAGATAAAAATAAACGGAGGGATGGATGAAAACAGCTCCCAGCTACTGGTCTGAATGCAGATCAAAGGCAGATGAAAGGCATTATGGGAAGATCCCAAACATTTAACCTTTACCCTCATATTCTATTGATTTCTGATTCAGCTGCTCTTTAAAGTGAGGCAGATAGCCCCTGATCTGGGAGGCTTTAGTGAAGGCTAAAGCTAAAACATGAGCGCTGAAGAGATGAGAGGAAACCAGAACGCAGAATTTAAGACAGAAGAACGGGGCAAAAATCACTGCATTATCATCTGACTCATTCATCATATTACCGGATTCTTATTGTGGTTAACTAAAACCAAAGCAATAAATTAAATAAACGGTGGCATTAAATTAAATAAACAAATTACATTTAAATAAATAAATAGTTGTTGTTTTTTTCCAGGTAGTGTCCAAGACAACCTTTCTCATTTTCAATTAGTTTAACTTGATGTACTGAAATGACAAAAACTGAAAATATATTTTTTACAATAAATATAAATCTATATATACACATACACGCACACAAACAAACAAAACAGCAAGTTTCCAGTTAACTATATTTAATGCATTAACTAACAATGAGCGGGCGATGAGCAATACATTTCTTACAGTATGTTTTTAATGTTTGTTAACATTACTTAATAAAAATATAGCTCAGGTCCATTAAATATGAAATTACACATTTCAATTTCTGGAGGGCCGGAGCCAACGCTGCTCCAACACACAAACCATGTCGTTTTCAAATAAGCCTGAAACACTTGATTAGCTGGATCCGGTGTGTTTAATTAGGGTTGAATCTAACCTCTGCAGGACCCCGGGGCCCTCCAGAAACTGAGTCTGTCACCCCTGCTGTAATGGATTATAAGATAACTAACAAACTGGTAAGATTTTAAACAGTTTAGTCTTAAATCAGTATCTTTTATCGCCATAATTATTTATGTATCCCTTAATGTCCGTCTAGTTTGAACTCGCCGCTTGTTAGCAACTGCTGTCTTCACAGAAGCTTTGCGTTCAAATATTTCAACTCAGATCAATATTTCGGGTCTAATTATTTACTTCTGTGGCAAGTAGCCGTGTAATAAGCGGGATAATGTACATCCAGCCGGTTGTTATCGCTGAATAACCCCCGACGGTGATCAGGACCACCACGCGAAGCTCACTTAGATACATTTTTGATTTTAATAATATATTAGTAAATGTTAGAATCAACGTTAACTAAGATTAATAAATGCTTTAGAAGTATTTTTCACGTTAACTAATATAGTTATCTAATGTTACCAAACGGAACCTTACTGTAAAGTGTTGCCAAATATAAAACTTCACCTAAAATTTAAATGAAAATAGACGATATGTGTCCCTGCAGCACAAAAGCAGTGTTGAGTCGCTGGGGGATATTTGTAGCAATAGCCAACAATACATTGTATGGGTCAAAATTATACATTTCTATTTTATGCTAAAAATCATTAGGATATTAAGTAAAGATCATGTTCCATGAAGATATTTAGTAAATGTCCTACCGTAAATATATCAAAACTTAATGTTTGATTAGTAATATGCATTGCTAAGAACTTCATTTGAACAACTTTAAAGATGATTTTCTCAATATTTAGATTTTTTTGCACCCTCAGATTCCAGATTTTCAAATATTGTCCGATCCTAACAAACCATACATCAATGGAAAGCTTATTTATTCAGATGATGTATAAATCTCAATTTTGAAAAATTCTTCTCCTCCTGGTCTTCCACCCAGTACACGCTGGGTATGACGAACTCCGACACCACGCGGCACTCGGGACAGGACCTGCAGGCAATCAGCTCAGGTTACTGCACAGCGCTCTCCACAGGGCTGAGATCAGAGCGGCTCTGGACTCACTTGCGGATCTGGTTCTGGAACTGCTCGGCGCAGCGCCACTGCCGGATGCAGCTCAGGCAGTACGAGTGGCAGCAGCTGGAGAGGATGCCGAAGCGCCGCTCCGACGGAGACGTCTTCTCATACACCACATCCAGACAGATCTTACACTGCTTGTCCTGACTCTGCTGCACTGCAAACGCTCTCTCCATGTCCAGCTCGAAGGCCGTCATGCACATCTGGGGATTATGCACAAATTATTTTTTAAACCATGTGTTAAAACAAATGCAACTAGTTTTGAGAGAAATCACAATATTTCAACATTTGATCGAGTCATACAATGTATGATAATCAGAAAGCGTTGCAGGGAAGCTGCAAGCACATTGAAAATTATGAGAATGAACTATGACAGAATTAGCATGAAACATAACTACATTTACTTAATACTTAAATAAATACACATACGTGACCCCTGGGGCACAAATTCAGTCATAAGGGTCGTTTTTTACAAAATTTAGATTTATGCATCATCTGAAAGCTGAATAAATGAGCTTCCATTGATGTATGGTTTGTTAGGATAGCACAATATTTGAAAATCTGGAATCTGAGGGTGCAAAAAAATCTAAATATTGAGAAAATCATCTTTAAAGTTGTTCAAATGAAGTTCTTAGCAATGCATATTACTAATCAAACATTAAGTTCTGATATATTTACGGTAGGACCTTTACAAAATATTTTCATGGAACATGATCTTTACTTAATATCCTAATGATTTTTGGCATAAAAGAGAAATGTATAATTTTGACCCATACAATGTATTGTTGGCTATTGCTACAAATATCCCCCAGCGACTTAACACTGCTTCTGTGCTGCAGGGACACATATATACATATATATATATAGACCTTTGAGTTTCAGTGTTTCAATAAATTGTATTTATTATTATGAATCATCATCATTTGACCGTCTAACTCTAGCACTCTGTATTCTAATCGAAATACTCTCGCTAGGCTGTCACAGCACTTATACAGCATTGCTCTTATGTTGGTTTCGAATGCTTCTGGTCCTCGTTTGTAAGTCGCTTTGGATAAAAGCATCTGTTAAATGATTACATGCAAAATAGAAATGTGAGCACAAATCGGCCCATTTCTACATGGATTTATTCTTTTTTTTTCTTCAACTGTTGCACTCAACATGCTGTTTTTTAAAAGCTGACTGAAATGGATGAGAGTCGGGGTGTGCTGTAGGTTCAGTCACCTTCTCATGCGCTGCTCTTTGTTCAGGGTCGTGCGGATGCAAAACCTGCAGCCGACAGATTTCACACAGATCGCCGTGGAGATAGGGGCAGCTGTCGCCGTAGTGACACGGTCCCGCCGCCATGTACGGGCAGAGCTGCGGCTGCTGGCCCCGGTCGGGACACGGGTCGGCCGAACTCTCCAGGCCGGAGCGGATGGCATCCAGGTAAGAGTGAGGTTTGCCGTGAGCGCCGTCGTGCCAGCAGTCCCTCACACCGGGCCCCGCTCTGCTGTCAGAGCTCAGCGCTGAAACACAGCACACATCTTACTGTATCACCATCATCTTACTGTAATCTCAGGCGTGTGAACTGCACACACCTTTGTCTCTCAGCACCAGAGGTTTTTTGGCATGTTTGCTTGTGTTTGACGGGGGTCCGGGTCCCGGGGCCGACGCTCCTGCGCTGCTGCTGCTGCTTCTGATGGGCTGCTCCGCCGATGGGCCGCGGCTGACAGGCCTGACGTGATCATATCTGTCAGAAAACACACCGCACACTTCACATCTGAACTAGCAAACATGCGGATTCTCTGTCCTGGCCTCTACCATGATTTTCTAGAAACATGCATAACACATATATACATGTGTGTGTGCAAATATATACACTACCAGTCAAACGTTTTTGAACAGTAAGATTTTTAATGTTTTAAAAAAAAAGTCTCTTCTGCTTTTGATCCAAAATACAGTAAAATTGTGACATATTTGTACTATTTAAAACAGCTGTGTTCTGTGTGAATATCTGTTAAACTGTAATGTATTTCTGTGATGCGCAGCTGTATTTTCAGCATCATTCCTCCAGTCTTCAGTGTCACATGATCTTCAGAAATCATAATAATATGCTGCTGACACACCGCACACTTCACATCTGAACTAGCAAACATGCGGATTCTCTGTCCTGGCCTCTACCATGATTTTCTAGAAACATGCATAACACATATATACATGTGTGTGTGCAAATATATACACTACCAGTCAAACGTTTTTGAACAGTAAGATTTTTAATGTTTTAAAAAAAAAGTCTCTTCTGCTTTTGATCCAAAATACAGTAAAATTGTGAAATATTTTTACTATTAATTTTCTCTGTGAATATGTGTTAAACTGTAATGTATTTCTGTGATGCGCAGCTGTATTTTCAGCATCATTCCTCCAGTCTTCAGTGTCACATGATCTTCAGAAATCAGTATAATATGCTGCTGCTCAAGAAAAAAACAATTATCATCATCATCAATATTTAAAACAGTTGAGTACATTTATATCAAATAAAAAACTTTTGTAACATTGTACACAATATCATTCAAAAGCTTAGAGTCAGTATCATTTTTTGGGTGGGGTGAAATTATAGAAATGACTACTTTTATGTAGAAAGGATGTTTTAAATTGATCAAAAGTGGCGATAAAGACACTGATATTGTTGCAAAAGATTTCTATTTCAGATAAATGCTGTTCTTGTGAAACCAGGGGTGCTCCGACTGATCGGCTGGAGGGGCAGAATAACAGCTTATTGATCATAAAAAGGTGTTGCATCTGCTTTATTAGGTAAGTGTGTGTGTCTCACTCGCCTGCATCTGTCTCCATACGCACACACTCCTCTCTGGTAGTATTTACAGATGGTTGAGGGTTTGCTCGAGGCCAGATCGTGAGAGAACATGCACCTGCTGCCCTCCCGACAGACCCCGTGCAGAAAATACCTGCAGACAGACGAGAGCATGAGCATGAGCATCAGCACCAGCACCAGCACCAGCATCAGCATCAGCTGTAAGAGGTCAGTATCATTTTTTGGGTGGGGTGAAATTATAGAAATTACTACTTTTATGTAGAAAGGATGTTTTAAATTGATCAAAAGTGGTGATAAAGACACTGATATTGTTGCAAAAGATTTCTATTTCAGATAAATGCTGTTCTTCTGAAACCAGGGGTGCTCCGACTGATCGGCTGGAGGGGCAGAATAACAGCTTATTGATCATAAAAAGGTGTTGCATCTGCTTTATTAGGTAAGTGTGTGTGTCTCACTCGCCTGCATCTGTCTCCATACGCACACACTCCTCTCTGGTAGTATTTACAGATGGTTGAGGGTTTGCTCGAGGCCAGATCGTGAGAGAACATGCACCTGCTGCCCTCCCGACAGACCCCGTGCAGAAAATACCTGCAGACAGACGAGAGCATGAGCATCAGCACCAGCATCAGCACCAGCACCAGCTGTAAGAGGTCTGCACACGCGTCAGTCCAGCCGCAGCGTCTCCTCTCGTGTGAAGCACATGATGATATTAGCAGTGACCTTATGACACACAGCGATGCTTTAGCGGCTGTATCATGACGGCTTGGTGTTTCTCTTTACCTGCAGGTCACCTGTCTCGTTGACATGTTTTATCCGGCTACCAATGTGATGCTTATCTGTGAAATGTTACTGTCTCCACGGTTTTGTGCAACCTGAAAATATCACCGGCTACACCGCGACGGCGCTGACCATTGCTTCCGCCTAGCGACTCGTTTCCGCGAATCGGTTCTTTCGAACGGTTCGTTTCCCAAACCCAGTTCATAGAGTAAGCATGGAATCGGTTCAACTGATTAGAGGTCCGACTCAGAAGAATGACTCGCGCTTCTTCTTCCGCCTCGGTGATGAACCCAAACCAGACACGTGTTATGAAAGCTGTCGGAAATGAACGAATGCACTGGACCAGACAACTGAGCTGGAATCCGCTGGGATACGTGATGGAATAAAAAAAATAAAAAAACACATTATCGCACAAGTGGGACATTGTCGTCAAATCGCGTAAGAAGAGAGATATTTGGATTTCATTTTCGAAGTGTTTAATTAGTGTTAGGTGTGCTGCCGTCTCGAGGACGCGGGTTTGTGCGCCCCCTGCTGGAGCGGGTTCGAGCTCAGTGACGTCAGAGCAGGACAGGAGCGCGAGACCAGGTGAGCGCTAATGGAGAGAGCCGTGATCACATACAGGCACTGCGGAAGAAACATTCACCGTTTCTCATGCTCTCCTCGAGCCGACGAGTCACAGCGCAGCTGTCCGGTCTGTCATCACACTCTCGCGTTTGGACTTTTAGACGCACCTGTTGCGCTTACCTGTCCGATTAGAAATGGCCACGCAGTCCCCTGTGCATTTCTGATAGGATCTATGCACGGACCAGCACATCTTGGGTGAGTTTACGAGGTTATATAATTATTCATAAAAGTTGCATTTATTCAGCAAGGACGCATTAAAGTGACAGGAAGGACAAACGATGGCAGCTTCATCAAAGAATCCTGAAAAATAAAATGCACAAAGCAGCAGTTTTCAACATAGCTAATAATCAGAAATGTTTCTTGAGCAGCAGATCAGCATATTATACTGATTTCTGAAGAGCATGTGACACTGAAGACTGCAGCAATGATGCTGAAGATGGCAGCTTCATCAAAGAATCCTGAAAAATAAAATGCACAAAGCAGCAGTTTTCAACATAGCTAATAATCAGAAATGTGTCTTGAGCAGCAGCATATTATACTGATTTCTGAAGATCATGTGACACTGAAGACTGCAGCAATGATGCTGAAAATACAGCTTTGATCACAGAAATAAATTACAGTTTAATATGCATTCACATAGAATGCAGCTATTTTAAATTGTAATAATATTTCACAATTTTACTGTATTTTTGATCAAATAAATGCAGCAGAAAATACTTGAAATATCTGAAATATTCCCCGCTATTGATTGGCAGTGAGTGTGTATATTATTGCTCCGTTTCTAACATTCTATCATGTATGTGTTCTCCAGAGAATGGCACGACACAGAGATTCACGTGGGACTCTCAAATTCAGAAGGTACGGCCCACCTGTATTCTTGTGTTTATACACGCACAAGGAGTCTTCAGAAATGTTTCTTGAGCAACAGATCAGCATATTATACTGATTTCTGAAGAGCATGTGACACTGAAGACTGCAGCAATGATGCTGAAAATACAGCTTTGATCGCAGAAATAAATTACAGTTTAATATGCATTCACATAGAATGCAGCTATTTTAAATTGTAATAATATTTCACATTTTTACTGTATTTTTGATCAAATAAATGCAGCAGAAAATACTTGAAATATCTGAAATATTCCCCGCTATTGATTGGCAGTGAGTGTGTATATTATTGCTCCGTTTCTAACATTCTATCATGTATGTGTTCTCCAGAGAATGGCACGACACAGAGATTCACGTGGGACTCTCAAATTCAGAAGGTACGGCCCACCTGTATTCTTGTGTTTATACACGCACAAGGAGTCTGTCTCGGTAACAGAACTGCTTCCAGTGCAGAACAAAGTACAGACATATACAGAAATTAAAGCAATGAAGTAAACTATAACACAATAATACAAATGAAAAGATATGGTCAGACTGTAGCCGAGTTATGCTTGTTCAGCAGTGGTCTGTGTGTTTAGGTCTGGTCTATAACTACACCCTGTCAGGGGTCCGGAGAGACGTCTGCGGCTGGGAACAGTGTGTGTGCATACAGCTCTGCCCTCCGTGGAGACATGAGCTCCGAGTACTCTGGGACCGAGAGCTGGAGCAGTTTTCGGCGCTGCCAGAATGGGTCTCCGAGCGGTACAGCTACAGTCCTGTGCAATATCACTATCAGATGTTTCATATGTTCTGTAATAATCATCGACATGATGCAAAATAGCACAAACTAAAATAATAATGGACATAAAAAATCTAAAAAATTTCAAAACTGAAATGGGAAAAAAAAAAACTGATTCAAAATATTAACTATAATAGAATCAAAAATAACGATGTTTCATATGTTCTGTAATAATCATCGACATGATGCAAAATAGCACAAACTAAAATAATAATGGACATAAAAAAATCTAAAAAATTTCGAAACTGAAATGGGAAAAAAAAAAACTGATTCAAAATATTAACTATAATAGAATCAAAAATAACATGGCACATGCATACAAGTTAAACAAAATTAAAATGATGCATGTAGCACTTTTTTTTATTATTAGCATTTATTTAAAGTAACATGTTTTTATTGTTTTAATTTAGTTTTAGTTAACAATAAGTATTCCGGTAAAATCCCAGCCACAAAAACGGCCCTAACTGCTCCACTATGTTTTGTTCACCGGCAGGTTTGACGAGGAAAGGGAGTTTGGATCGAGCTGTTATGGTTTCGCGCTGACCTTCATTAACCACATGCGCTCGTTGGATGGGAAAGCGTCTCTGAGCAGAGACCAGTTCACAGGATCTCACATTTTACCCAGAATGAAGACCGTGTCGCTATACATCAACATCTATCATGCAATATTACAACATGGATTTTACATCGCTAATACAGATCATGACATGTGATACACGCTTCTTCATAGAAGTGCAATATATATAGAAAGCCGTCTCTACGGCAGAACCCTTTCAAGAGGTACTAATGCATGCCTTTAAAGGGAAAGTTCATCCAAAAATGAAAGCTTGCTGTTAATGTACTCATCCTCAGGCCATCCAAGATGTAGGTGAGCTTTTTTCTTCAGTACAACAGTAAAGATTTTTAGCTGACACCGCGGTGCTGGATGTATAACATGCAAGTCCACGGCTGCCTTCACTTTGAGAGTCAAAACAAGCGATGCTAAATTAATACCAGTGGCTCCTGACGATATATTGAAGTCTCATCAAGCTGTGCAAAAAAAAAAGTCTTCATAAATGATTGGCAAGCCTATACACAGCTGTCAGCCCAGCGCCACATTAACACCGCTGTCACTGTAGTGTGATGTGTTTACAGGATTCATTTACCACATGCGGCTCAGTTACTCATGACAGGTTGTAAACCTGTAAATGCAGGTTTTAAACAAAGACCTGGTTTTGAGTTGCAATGACGCCCACTCCTATCAACTCAGCATAGTTTACAATTTCCAAGCTATTACACATTGCATGCACTCTCTCAATTAACAGTCATAAAATCTGAATACATATAGATTTGCATACCACACTGCATAAAAAGATATTTCTAAGCACCAATAAAACAGGATCAGTGTTTGTGTTTCAGTTGTGTGTCTGTTGGTAAAGAATATGTCAGAGTTCATATACAATCAGATTTAGAAAGAATGAGTCCTGTTGGCTTTCACAAAAAGGCGCAGGTGAGCGCTAATGAACATTAATGAAGCTGCCGTGCAAACAGATCCCATTTCCCCACAGGTTTAGTGTTTGCTGAAACCAGATCGGTGCACGTGAGCCGTGGACGACAGCCCACTGAAACAGCAGCTGCGCTCTCTTATGAGGCGTCTGCTCGGTTATCACACCTCATACAAGTGCAGTTATCACACCGCATACTCTCTGGCCTCCGTCAGCCTGCGCAGCCTTCAGTCCTCTCCAGATGGATAAGAGCGTCATCAAATTCAACCACTGTGACAAGGACATCTACTGTTTCTTCGTCCCGGATCAGTGTCCTGAATGTGGCGTTGGCTTCAGTGGGAAGCGGCTGGAGGAAGCGCCGGTCAGCATACCGAACCCCGTCAGCAACGGACACAAGGCCCCGTGTGCCTTTCTAGTGGCGTCCACAGAGGACAGTGTGCTCAGGTAGGACCGTCAGCTGAAGCTCCTAGAGAAGGACATGTCCTCATATAGAGATGAAACTGAGGTGACATAAATGCAGCTGGTTTTTGCAGGGACTTCGATGGCCGCTCTGATCTACACACGGGAATCAGCAACACAACCGGTACTGTACCGAGTCTGAGTCTGACAAACTTGAGTCATTTTAACTGGAAAAGAATGTAAGAGTGCAACTAAGTTACATGAACGGGTAAAAGATGTGTTTTACAAGGCATGCACTTTTTGTAAGAAATGTCCCCTTTTAATTTACAGTAAGAGTTTCCCTGTAGTTGATGTTTTACTTACATTGGTATGTTTCTCATGCCACCCTGTAATGCCTGAAACCGTCATTGTATTTTGTTTTGAATTAAAGTCAGGTTCTTGTACCCACAGATTTTTACTTTACAGTAAATTTAATAGAAATTAGTTTTTTGTTAGTTTTAGTTTTCTTATCATGAGGGTTATTATAATTAATTAAAACTAAACCTAAACCAATAAATAAAAATAAATGTTAACAAAGAAAATATTAAAAGCTTTTTTTTTTGTGCTGTCAAACGATTAATCGCGATTAATCGCATCCAAAAATACGGTACATCAATTGCACTTTGTATTAAAAAAAGTAATAGAATTTGACCTGCAGAATTATTTGTGAAATAAATCAAAGGTCACAATGTGCGTCTTTTGTGTTCAAATATGTGAACGCCATTTCTTCTGTTGCTACTGAAGGAATAGTCTACAGTTACACGAAGACGGGTGTTCAGAGAGAGCATCAGGGCTGGGAGCACTGCATCTGCATCCCGCTGGTTCAGCCCGACATGTTCAGTCTGATGAGCCAGTGGGATCAGTATCTGGAGAAGTTCTCCTCCGCTCAGATGTGGGACCCGTCCTGGCAAAGGTGAGCCTCTACACCCCAAACGCTGAAGTCACCCAGCATAAATGAGGAAAATTGCAGTTCCGGGAAATTACATTCAGAGGTTTCTAAAGGGGTCATATGATGTGATTTCAAGTGTTCCTTTCTCTTTGGAGTGTTACAAGCTGTTCGTGAATAGATACGATCCCTAAAGTTGCAAAGACTAAAGTCTCAAACCCAAAGAGATATTCTTTATCAAAGTAAAGAGTCATCGCTTATAATGGGTTTTAATGTTTTTGTCTCGCCGGACACAGCATCACAGTATGGTGAGGGGCGTAACATTTCCGTCACATGCTTGAGGTATTCAGCCAATCACAATGCACTGGATAGCTGGCCAATCACAGCACACCTCGCTTTTCAGACCGATGAGCTTTGTAAAAATCAACGCTTTCCAGTATGTTTGTACAGTATGTGGAAAATAATGTGTTTTGAACCTTAAACCGCATAAACACATTTCATTACACAAAATAATGTTCTCTTTAGCATCGTCATATGACCCCTTTAAATGTCCAAATGCTGTCTGGATCAGTCTGTTCTTTGTTTTTCAGCTTTAATGAGGAAAGCCACAACTGCTACAGCTACTCGCTGATGTTCATCAACCGTGTTCTGGCCACGCAGTCCAAGCCAGCGCTGAGTAAAGAGGAGTTCACACGCTCCTTTGTGCTTCCTCGGATCAAAAGAGCTTCCAAGTACATGATGCTGTGCCGTGAGATTTCCCAGAACCACTTCTACATCGTGGACAGTCCGCGCAGAAACTCAGGCGAGGGTCCGAGTGAGGAGGACGAGGACAGCAAGAGCAACTGAGACACAACTACTACGACTTTCCTGGATCATCACAGGCGCAATAACACTGATTTACGCTCAATTCTTGCATCATTTGAATGAATGATGCCTAAACGTGCCTATTAATCTGTACTGTTATGAACTGAACTGCCACTTCTGTAAAGCTTCTCTCATTCAGACATGTTTTCAGAAAGCACTTTAAGGTGATTGAGCCCAGAATCATTCATACGAAGGACTTTGAGAGTTAGTGATGAAACACGACAGACTCCGCTGATCTTCTGTTTGCTCTGTATATTTATTGTTGAAGACTGTCTGCGTCTGGACATTGTTTAAACACCATCTGAACATTATTAAAGAAAAATAAGTCGCAGCTTAATCTTGATGCAAAATAAACACGGAAAAGGGAATGTTGGCTTATAAAGGTCTAGATTTCCTCCTGTTCAGTTCTCTCTCTTGAGGAGACCCATCTGCTCAGGATGACTTCCTGCAACACATAAAACAGCGCTACAGATGCAGACACGCACAGCAGTCTCAGAACGAACTCGGGCGTGCTGTGGTACCTGTAGAGTGAATCGTTTCAGACACTCTGGAGAGGACAGCATGTCTTCGGTCATGTCTGATGGAGTGATGACGGAGCACAGCATCAGCTCCTGCGCAGGAAACACATCCAGAGGTTCAGGACAGGTTTCACTTACTGCACTTTACAAAAAACATTACCACTAATATGGTCCAAATCAAGCCCTATAACTCTTGCTTTGCTCAGTGAAAATAGATCACCCGCTGACCATCCACCTCAGGAGCAACTTACATTTTATTGGTTTTCTTTCTGAATTTAGTCATTTTTGACACCTTGTCTCCAAAACACTGTTACTCTGCCATGCAGCTTTATAACTTTCTAGCAACAAACAAACCCATCGATATAATATGATTTTATTTTTACATTATAAAATATATTAAACAAATATCGGTTCAAGTTAATTAAAAAAAACAAATATTAGTTTTAAATTATATAACGTTTTCAAATATTACAAGTCTATATTATACTTTTAAATATTAATATTATAATTTTAAAATATTAGTTTAAAATAAAAAATATATATATAATAAAACAAACAACAACAACAAAAAATAAGTGGATGAAACTTGGGTACTTGGAAACGTTCAATGGTGTTGTTTTATAATTTGTAAAAATCATCAAAAGGTTATACATGCACATATTGGACAAATGTTTTAAAATGAATTAAAAACAGTTTTTATTTAAATAATCTAAATATCATGGTGGCATTGTGCATCTTAACGGTCGGGTATTGTTGAGAACCTCATGACGTCTGACGTAGTCTAGCAGTTAATCGGAAAACATGATAACACTTTACTTAAAGCCTTTATATTGATGCATTAATAAAGCCTTGTAATGCACCTTATAATGCATTGTATGATCTCATGAATAACTGTAACCACAGTTATAATACATTATAATACAAACAACCAATTTCATATGTGACAAGGAATCTGCAAATATTATAATGCATTTTAACTTTGGTTACAACTGTTTATGAAAAGATATAATGAAAGATAACATTACATTATGATACCTTTATAATGCGTTATACAGTTGCAATCCAAATTTATCAACCTCCCCAGAATACAAATCCGTTTTCTGAAGATCTAGAATTTAAAAGAAATGGCACCTATAACAGCTTACTGGCATATTGAAAGTGATAATGTCAATATATAATGTAACGTTTTTGAGTTATAGGGTTTTTTAATAACAGGTTATTGGAGCAAATTCAAAAAAAATTTTTGTCATTATTCATCAACTTTACGTTCTCAGAATCACTCAAATGTGTTTTAATAAACTTTCTCTAATCAAATCTAATTTTGTTTTTGGCAGTAAAATGTGGCAAAAAGTGTTGCTGTGGCTCAGTGGTAGAGCATTGCGTTAGCAGCGCAAAAGGTTGTGGGTTCGATGCCCAGGAAAACACATACTGGTAATGCACTGCAAGTCGCTTGCTAAATGCATAAATGAATGAATTAAATTAAAATGTCTTGCAGGTCAAGGGGGTTGATTAAATGTGATTGCAACTGTCCATAAAGGCTTTAAGTTTTAACAAAAAAACATTTGTGCTTGGAATGTTTGTAAAAAGCCATGGGACTCCAAACTAATTTTTTTGTGGAAAGTGCCAAAAACAGGCTGTTAATAATAAAATATACTACTCCTCTCGAAACAGACAGTCTTCAGGGATACTTATTCAAATGTGGGTATCAAACTTCCGTTATTAAGCGCTTTTATTAGTCCTACTGTACCTTAGAGACGTTCCCAGTGATTCTGCTGAGAGCAGCGAGAGATTTCCAGCTGAAGGGCCGCAGAGACTCATCACAGCGGTTCACCACCACCGAGTAGCTGAACACAGACAGACAGACACACACACTCACACACAGACAGACAGACAGACAGACAGACACACTCACACACGCACACACACACGCACTCACACACAGACACACACACGCACTCACACACAGACAGACAGACGCACACACACACACACTCACACACGCACACACACACGCACTCACACACAGACACACACACGCACTCACACACAGACAGACAGACGCACACACACACACACAGACAGACGCACACACACACACACGCACTCACACACGCACACACACGCACGCACGCGCACACACACATGCACATGCACACACACGCACACACACGCACGCACGCGCACACACACATGCACATGCACACACACGCACACACACGCACGCACGCGCACACACACATGCACATGCACACACACGCACACACACGCACGCACGCGCACACACACATGCACATGCACACACACGCACACACACGCACGCACGCGCACACACACATGCACATGCACACACACGCACACACACGCACGCACGCGCACACACACATGCACATGCACACACACGCACACACACGCACGCACGCGCACACACACATGCACATGCACACACACGCACACACACAGACAGACACACACACACAGACACTCACAGATGCACACACACGCACATGCACATGCACACACACGCACACACACGCACGCACGCACATGGGCACACGTGTTTTCATGTGAATTTCTGGACTGTATCTTTGAATCTTGATGCACCACCAAAAGCAAACATTTTCAACATCTGCCTGATTAAGAACAAACCTTGCATGATAAAACGGTGGTCCTTTTCGGTAGAGCACTAGAAAGAGAGAACGAAAGGAGAATCTGAGAGCTGAAACAGCAACAGACAAGCGGCAACTCTATAGTGCCGTGTGTCTACAGGAGCCCATGACTCCTGAAGTTCACAGCCAAGAGTCAGTTTCCATGTCATGTCAGTGAGACTGCAGTGCTACGGGTCGGGAGAGCGAGGAAAGCAATGCTCAATAGACCTGAATAATTCAGCCGTCCTCCTCGAGCGTTACTGACACTGCTTGGAAAATCTCTCTGACCCGCTGGACTCAGCTAATGCAGGGACAGGCCTAAATGTTTCAGAAGGACAGGCCATAAACATCAGCGCTCCTGAGAACAACGGGCTGATTCTGTGCCATTACAAACTGCACCATCTGAAAACACCACACTGCTCGTCTTCTATAATGCTGTCACCGCTTCATGACAGGCACAGCTTGATATTCTTTTTGAAATCATTTTCATAGGCATAGAAGCCAAATACATGAACTGGCCATATTTGGACTTCAATGCAAGTTATTAACTTTGGTCACTTTATTTTAGGGCGTCCTTGTTACACAAATAAATACTTAAGTACTATTAATTAACAACATAGGGTTAGTTAGTTAATTAGCTGTTATTATTCCAGGGTTTGTGCAGATCTTAAAAATTTTTAATTCGTCCTTCCACAAATTAAGGCCTTAAAAACGTCTTAAATCAGAGCAGAAAATCTTGAAATCACAAAGTCCATGGCATTAAATGTTGCATGCATTGCAAAAAATGTTTTTGTCTCGTTTTCCATTACAACTTAAATCCAAATACATTTACAGTCCAACTCTTGTTTTCTGAGAACTTGAACAAAATAGTTTATGCTTAAAAAACGGAAAACAACTATCTGTCGACGGGGAATGAAAACTTGTTTTCCCTTTGAGTTACGTGAAACCATTGGCAGATACATGATCTTGTTTTAATCATAAACTCACTTCAGTCATATCAATTTCTCAGAAAACAAGACTTCTTGTCATTCTGCTTCTCAATGTATCTTGATTTAAGAATCTTTAGACATTTGCACTGGAAGACAAGACAAAAATATAACACATAGGAAGAACATTGATTATTTGCAGTGCGAATTATACAGATATTTCCATAGTCTAGTTCTTTATTTTTTATTAATTAATTACAATTTTTAATTCGTCCTTCCACAAATTAAGGCCTTAAAAACGTCTTAAATCAGAGCAATTCTTGAAATCACAAAGTCCATGGCATTAAATGTTGCATGCATTGCAAAAAATGTTTTTGTCTCGTTTTCCATTACAACTTAAATCCAAATACATTTACAGTCCAACTCTTGTTTTCTGAGAACTTGAACAAAATAGTTTATGCTTAAAAAACGGAAAACAACTATCTGTCGACGGGGAATGAAAACTTGTTTTCCCTTTGAGTTACGTGAAACCATTGGCAGATACATGATCTTGTTTTAATCATAAACTCACTTCAGTCATATCAATTTCTCAGAAAACAAGACTTCTTGTCATTCTGCTTCTCAATGTATCTTGATTTAAGAATCTTTAGACATTTGCACTGGAAGACAAGACAAAAATATAACACATAGGAAGAACATTGATTATTTGCAGTGCGAATTATACAGATATTTCCATAGTCTAGTTCTTTATTTTTTATTAATTAATTAAAGCAATGAAGATCTGTTGGAAAATCACAAACATTTTCTACATTTACATTCTGACTTGGCTTATGTGCATATTCAGTGTGTGTGTGTGTGTATATATATATATATATATATATATATATATATATATATATATGTACTGCATAGTGACGTTTTACGTTCCCTTTCAATCTTTCAATTCAATTCTCTTGACTTGGTCTGAAAAATGTCTTAAAGTCTGATCTTCATTACATTCTGACTTGTCTTATGTGCATATTCAGTGTGTGTGTGTGTGTATATATATATATATATATATATGTACTGCATAGTGACGTTTTACGTTCCCTTTCAATTTGGTCCATCAATTCTCTTGACTTGGTCTGAAAAATGTCTTAAAGTCTGATCTTCATAAAAACCTTGCATTCATCATTTACTGTTATTACTAGAGCACACACACACACACACACACACGAGGACACTGGTTAAAAACAAGTCTAATTTTTATGTTGGACCTACAGCCGAATCATAGCAAAGCTGAACACCACATGAATGCCAATGCAATTTCTTACTTTTGAAATGTGGAGTTGCAGCTTTGAAAACAAAACAGAGTTGGATGTAGTTCAGGTTTAAAGTTGAGATTTTGTGAGAAATATCCTTACTTAAATCAGTCCCGTATTTAACTCCAGACTTTGGCACCCAGCCTTTACTGCGGAAGTAGTGATAGGCCGCGTAGGAGCTGGAGAAGTTGGGCTGCAGCGAACGAAACATGGTCCAAACCTGAGCCACCGACAGAGCTTCCTACAGGAAACACAACCAGACAGACGCTCACCAGTCAAGACACTACACCGCTAAACCACACGTAACGCTGGCCACACGCAGAAAAGAGGCTAAGAACTCACCCCGCTGTAATAAACTGACAAGCAGCCCAGAGCATAGACCAGAAAGAACGCCTGAAACAAAGACAAGCTGCTTGTTAGGAGACAAATGACCTGAAGTTCATGCTAGGATGTGTCCTAGATCACACCGGCCGATGACAGCAATCGCACAGGGGGATGTCAGAGAGAGGTCAAGCATACAGTCAGGATGATAAATACCCAATTATAAACCATCCCACATTCCTCCAGACGCTCGCTCGGACTCGAGGGTGTGTGTGCTTTCCTGGAGGATGATGGGATGGGATTATGTTAGTGAGAGCGAGTGGTAGTTTCAGTAAGCTGCTGTTGAGGGAGCTTGAGTTAACAGAAGAGAGTAGATAAGATATTCAGCCGTGTTGTTTGGATTGGCTCAGGGCAATGAAATCACTCGACTATATCCAGCTGTAACAATAAAAGCTAGAGGAATATATGTAGCAGCCTATTTGACTCAAACCTGACAGATAGAAACCAGGGGCACGAGACCGCAGTGATGGAGGGCTGTTTGGGCGCTGGGAACGAATTGCAGCAGTATGCAGTGTGTCGACAGAAAGGATTTCTGATGCAATCCGTCACGCAGAGAGCTTGAGCCTCGTCAGTCACTTACTTCTTCATAACTGAGTTGCAGATACTCCATCGTGCTGAAAGGGTTTATTCTGCACACTAACTTGCCCTGCTGCTCCTGAAATAGACAAGAGTCCATTACTAACAGGTTCGCTCATAAAAAAACAAACACAGTGTCTTTTCCGAAACCGCTGAAGGCAAAGTTCTCTGAAGAAGAGTGAAAACTGTCACTGCGTTTTCTTCTCCTCTGCAATCAGCTCCGTACCGCTTAACATTCAGACTGTTTGTGCATTCATTCGGTCGAAGATGTGCTCATTTTTATGCACTTTCTACTTCTAAGCTGTCACTAGCCAATTTTCCATCCACTGCATACGTTTTGGTGCATCGCAAAAGAGATCTGCACCGTTTTCAACAGCATTTTGTGCATATCCTCAAAACCTGGTAAAATAGTGAGAGTAACGGGAGAATTGAAATTGATCAGCTTACGCATTTAATACGATACGCTCTCATCCTGTATGAAAAATATAAGAGTCCAATAAAAAAAAATAAAAAACAGGACTGTACAGTAAAGCACATGACCAGCATAAACCAGCAAAGGACCAGCTTAAACCAGCATAGGACCAGTTTAAACTAGCACATGACCAGCATAAACCAGCAAAGGACCAGCTTAAGCCAGCAAAGGACCAGCTTAAACCAGCATAGGACCAGTTTAAACCAGCAAAGGACCAGCATAAACCAGCAAAGGACCAGTTTAAACCAGCAAAGGACCAGCATAAACCAGCAAAGGACCAGTTTAAACCAGCAAAGGACCAGCATAAACCAGCAAAGGACCAGTTTAAACCAGCAAAGGACCAGCATAAACCAGCAAAGGACCAGTTTAAACCAGCAAAGGACCAGCATAAACCAGCAAAGGACCAGTTTAAACCAGCAAAGGACCAGCATAAACCAGCAAAGGACCAGTTTAAACCAGCAAAGGACCAGCATAAACCAGCAAAGGACCAGTTTAAACCAGCAAAGGACCAGCATAAACCAGCAAAGGACCAGTTTAAACCAGCAAAGGACCAGCATAAACCAGCAAAGGACCAGTTTAAACCAGCAAAGGACCAGCATAAACCAGCAAAGGACCAGTTTAAACCAGCAAAGGACCAGCATAAACCAGCAAAGGACCAGTTTAAACCAGCAAAGGACCAGCATAAACCAGCAAAGGACCAGTTTAAACCAGCAAAGGACCAGCATAAACCAGCAAAGGACCAGTTTAAACCAGCAAAGGACCAGCATAAACCAGCAAAGGACCAGTTTAAACCAGCAAAGGACCAGCATAAACCAGCAAAGGACCAGTTTAAACCAGCAAAGGACCAGCATAAACCAGCAAAGGACCAGTTTAAACCAGCAAAGGACCAGCATAAACCAGCAAAGGACCAGTTTAAACCAGCAAAGGACCAGCATAAACCAGCAAAGGACCAGTTTAAACCAGCAAAGGACCAGCATAAACCAGCAAAGGACCAGTTTAAACCAGCAAAGGACCAGCATAAACCAGCAAAGGACCAGTTTAAACCAGCAAAGGACCAGCATAAACCAGCAAAGGACCAGTTTAAACCAGCAAAGGACCAGCATAAACCAGCAAAGGACCAGTTTAAACCAGCAAAGGACCAGCATAAACCAGCAAAGGACCAGTTTAAACCAGCAAAGGACCAGCATAAACCAGCAAAGGACCAGTTTAAACCAGCAAAGGACCAGCATAAACCAGCAAAGGACCAGTTTAAACCAGCAAAGGACCAGCATAAACCAGCAAAGGACCAGTTTAAACCAGCAAAGGACCAGCATAAACCAGCAAAGGACCAGTTTAAACCAGCAAAGGACCAGCATAAACCAGCAAAGGACCAGTTTAAACCAGCAAAGGACCAGCATAAACCAGCAAAGGACCAGTTTAAACCAGCAAAGGACCAGCATAAACCAGCAAAGGACCAGTTTAAACCAGCAAAGGACCAGCATAAACCAGCAAAGGACCAGTTTAAACCAGCAAAGGACCAGCATAAACCAGCAAAGGACCAGTTTAAACCAGCAAAGGACCAGCATAAACCAGCAAAGGACCAGTTTAAACCAGCAAAGGACCAGCATAAACCAGCAAAGGACCAGTTTAAACCAGCAAAGGACCAGCATAAACCAGCAAAGGACCAGTTTAAACCAGCAAAGGACCAGCATAAACCAGCAAAGGACCAGTTTAAACCAGCAAAGGACCAGCATAAACCAGCAAAGGACCAGTTTAAACCAGCAAAGGACCAGCATAAACCAGCAAAGGACCAGTTTAAACCAGCAAAGGACCAGCATAAACCAGCAAAGGACCAGTTTAAACCAGCAAAGGACCAGCATAAACCAGCAAAGGACCAGTTTAAACCAGCAAAGGACCAGCATAAACCAGCAAAGGACCAGTTTAAACCAGCAAAGGACCAGCATAAACCAGCAAAGGACCAGTTTAAACCAGCAAAGGACCAGCATAAACCAGCAAAGGACCAGTTTAAACCAGCAAAGGACCAGCATAAACCAGCAAAGGACCAGTTTAAACCAGCAAAGGACCAGCATAAACCAGCAAAGGACCAGTTTAAACCAGCAAAGGACCAGCATAAACCAGCAAAGGACCAGTTTAAACCAGCAAAGGACCAGCATAAACCAGCAAAGGACCAGTTTAAACCAGCAAAGGACCAGCATAAACCAGCAAAGGACCAGTTTAAACCAGCAAAGGACCAGCATAAACCAGCAAAGGACCAGTTTAAACCAGCAAAGGACCAGCATAAACCAGCAAAGGACCAGTTTAAACCAGCAAAGGACCAGCATAAACCAGCAAAGGACCAGCATCCCAGCGTCAGAACATACCTAACCAGCATATGCTGGTTTTTTCAACAGGGACATTTAATACTTTACATATATACAGATATACACGTATGTACTAAACCAAATGAAAATGTTGTGTTCAGCCGTGTGTCTGTGACAGAGTTGTATTTTGGGGGATTAAACCCTCAGTGCTTTCATTCAGGTCCTGGCGCACACACCTCAGACAGGACTAAAGCAATGACAGAAAAGCTTTACTGGCTTTGTTTGCTGTGTTTCTCTGTAAGAATGAAAGACATGTGAGTGACACTGCCATGTGTTTCTGAGCGCTTGTCGTGGGTGGAGAGGAGACCGGCTGGAATAGTTAGGCCTGCTTTCACAACCTCAGCATTCAGCGTGAACTTTAAAAAATCCTGCCGTGATCTTTTGTTAGAAGCCCCAGGAGCCACTCCTGTACAACACACACTTTCAGTGCTAAACGAGGGCATTCCACAGACTAATTATAGATTTACCCAAAGCCTACCCCATGTAAGTCAATATATCTACAAACGGGAGGATTCTCATAACTTTGGCTAACGTTCTGTCAAAGTTATGAACAAACGCTCTTCCAGCAATGTTAACAGAACATTCATTCAGAGTTATCTGGCCTTTAATAATGTTAGCTCAAAAACATTATTTATACATTACTGAAACATTTTAGTTTGATGTTCGACTAATTTAAGTATTTATTTTTTAATGTTGCTACTTATTTCAGAATTTTTAAGAAAACATTCGAAAGTGACATTCCCATAATGTTTGTATATTGATCAAATGGAACGAAGAAAAAAGTTTGGGAACACTTTCTATGAAGCCCGTATTTATAATACATTATAAGAGTATTCTTAAGGAGTATTCTTGCAGTTGTTAACTTGTTACTTTACTTAAAGCAGACAAACACCACTTAAAAATCATAACAACAATAATGATAAAAATAATATTTTTTCTTAAACAGCTGTAAGATCAGAGATCTGTTTAGATGAGTGTAATATGGCACATTAGATTTGAACTATATTTATTGTAACATCAGTAAGATACTGTACAGGTCTTAAATAAATAATGTCAAGATATGAAATATTACGTGGATTTAAGATAGTGTTTATTGCGTGTTATAAATAATCACACTCATAAACGTTATAACCACAAATAAGTACGTTTTATAATGTATTATAATTGTTGTTATGATTATTTATGAGATGAAACAGCATATTATACGTTTTTTTAATAATGCATTATGCATTCATTATAATGCCTTACGAATGCCCTTATAATGTGTTATAAATACGGGCTTCAGAAAGTGTTACCACGTTTTGAAAAATCAGAGAAACAAGGTTTTCATAACTTAATTTGAACGTTGACAATGCCTTCTTAGAATGAATTGTTGTTAGCTGGAAATGCTCTACTGTAATGTTGCCATGTTGTTCATCCAAGTCAACTCTCAATCTGAGAAAACATCTTTATCGGGCATTGTCTGCACATTGCTTTTGTTTTTAATATAGCAGCAGGTGTATTCCTTCACTCTCGTCCCATATCTGACACCCGGGGAACAGATTCAAGCTGCCGTGTGCGACGCTCCACAAACACACAGGGCCTGCTATCTTTGGCTGCATTCCTTCACAGATTTTTAAAGCAGCAAAATGTATTTTCTGAAATGACTTGGCATTGTCCGTGAAGCGTCTTGGCAGGATGAAGTCTCTGGAGGACCGATAGTAACAAAGTAAAGGATATGCTGACACAGCACAAAACACATTTAATCATCATCATCATCATCATCAAAACAGACAGCAGGCTGCTTTCCAGAGGAGAGCCGTGTTCGAGTGCCACAGCTTCAGACTGTTCATTCCCATCCCAGCCTCAGGAGAAAACAAGCCAATAAAGCACCGCTGAGGCAGAGCTATGCAAAAGCTTTCCCATCGTGCTAAAGCGACAAGCTTTTAGCCATAATCGAGTTGCATGTTTTGAAATGTTCATACATTTTAATGTTTTTTTCCACTTACTTAATATATAGTTTTGGTGCATTTGTTTGTTTTGGCCTAGAATGGGGTTTACAAAGATCCTAAATACTTGTTGCTAGGTTTATAGTTGTGTTTACAGTTCTGTTAAATGATGGTCAGTATCATGGAGATACTCATTTTATTCTGATCTAGTTATTTCTCTGCTTCCACACCATATTATTAATTGAGTGAATTACACAGGTTCAAACTGAGTTCTGTTTAACATCAACTACGTGAGTTTATATGAGCTAAAACTAAAATGTACGTGTAGAGCAGTTATTAATCTCAGTACTGTTAATTTCAACATTTACTAATGCATTATGAAAATCAAAAGCTGTAGCTGTTTAATAGACCTGAGATGACATGAATGGCAACGAACAGTTGTGTTTTTGGTGACAAAGATTAATAACTACTGCAACAAATGTGTTGCTTGTTGTTAGTTAATGTGAGTTAATGCATTCATGTTAACTAATGGGATCTTATTGCAGTGTTACTGTCTACCTTAAAAAAATTATTGTAATGTTAAAAAATAAACTGTATGCAAAACATACAAATAAATCCTCATTTTTAGTGTTTAGCTGAAAATAAAAATATTTTCTGGCAAATTTGGATTGAAGTAAGTTGCATTAGTTTATAGTTTGAAACGGAGTCAGTCACATTAAACTTGCTGGTTTTGTTTTAAAATGTTTTGGACCCAAAGAAGATTGTGAAAGACATCATGGGCACATCAATCAGCAGAAACTAATGACGCCTCACATCAAGTCTCCCACTTCCCCTTCCCTGACCCCCGAAAACAGCATCAAATCCAACATCTTTTAGCATTCAGACTCTGTCATTTTTCACTGAGGTGTAACTAAAACCTTATTCTATCAAAAGGAAGAAATAGTCATGTCCCGTCCAGCTGGAAATGATATTTTGACAAAGGAGATATGCATCTACTGCGGGGTGCAGTGAAGTTCACGTTTTGCAATCACAACAGGGTGTGTTCAGTGACACACACGCAATAAAAGCCTGATGTAATGACTCAAAGAAGCTTTGCGTGTTACGGAGCTGCACGCAATCTCTGCCTGCTCAAGACTTCAATAGGAAGACATTCATTAACACACACACACACACACACACACACACACACACACACTCTCTCTCACACACACACACACACTGCAGGCGCGTAGGCGGCGAGATAAAGGTGTGCAATGAGCATATCGCATGTCAATCAGAAATGTAGAAACAGTTAATCCAGAAGTTAATATAGTTTGAAAATATTTATTTACATATCCAAATACAATTGACATTTAACGGCTTACATGTCATTTAAAATTTAGGAAACAAAAAAACAAGGCTTTAGAATGATTTGGAAAAGAAATCCTGACTAAGAAAAATAAAGCAAAACAAAAACAAAAAGTCCCTTGCAGTTTAAAAAAATTTCACATATGTAAAAGACAACATATTTAAGTTCAGAATTTGAGGCAAAAAGAGCAGATGGAAAATAATCTAAGAAAGTGTTGTATTTGCTCCATGTATAAGCAAAAAAACAAACACAAATATCAGTGGTTAAAATGAAACTACACGCTTACACATTCAGATTTATCTGTCATATATTTTGTGCATAGTTTGAGACAAACGCCAGCTCTTTGGTACATCTGATGCTAGTGGTGTGTGTGTTTAGTTTTCTCTTCTCTCTTCAAGACAAGTCACTTTTATTGCAGCCCTACATGAACAAATGCTGGAGACGTATATGTGGCACTCTTTGATAGTGCTATTTGAAACTTTCTGATAATGGCCAAAAATTAAACATAATAAGACAGGGTCTAAAAGTCTGAGACCACGAGTTCTTGCTTCTAATTAATTCGTATTCTCCTCTAATAAAATACATTTAAATATATAATAAATTAAATATAAAATAGTGACAATCACCATGTTAAACTCTTTTTTTTTGCTTCTGTTGAAGTTCAAAATACTTCTTAAAGCATGTAAAGTACGATTTAACCCACATGTATATTTACTAATTACTAATTATATCAGCAGAATTGGAAAAATCTCTATTAAATGAGTTCAACATGGTGATTGTCACTATTTTAAATGAAAATGTATTTATATTTGCCTAGATAGACACCTAGAAAACATTTACCGTATCTTTATTGTTCTTTTCTTAAATGCTTAATTGAAGGGTTAAATAAAAAAGTCCCTAACTTGCGGTGTGGTGCCAGACTTTTGCACGCCACTGTATTTATGCTATTTTTAAAAATGAAATATGGAGTGTCACTTTGATGTTTCCTGTAAGGGCTATGAATGCACAGACACAAGTGTGGTTTTAAATCACCAGGTAAAAGACTTTAACCAGCGCTGTTGCATTGGGCACGGCACTCTTGAAAGCCAGAAACGAATCACAAAGCGGTCGCTGTCAAACACCCTGTTCTAGTTTCTCTGCTGACAAAAGCTTTTTACAGTGCAAAAACTTCACCGACTACATCAGAGCAGTAAACCAAACTCAGAATCAAAACCGTGTGCATCTGCTAAACACACACTAGTACAAGTCCCTCATGATCTCCTGCAGAAGCGGGTGCAAGCACCAGTCCACCTCCGTCTCCTTCAGCAGCTGGATCAGCTGCACGTGATCGGTCACCAGCTGCCGCAGATCAGTCATCTTCTGCAGCACTTTGGCGAACAGCTGCAGAGAGTCGGGATGGCTCATCTTCAGCTGCAGCTCCAGAGAATGAAGAACCGTCTCCTGGAGATCCTCGATGGGCTTGACATTCAGCAGACCCGGTCGATCTGCCGCAGGGAAAAAACAGCGGAAGATGGAGAAGTTTATGAATCTGTCTGTTTTGAGACAGTGGTTCATTTAACCATGCATTATAATAGACCGAATAGATGTTTTCCTACAGATTTGTTCAGGTGAATCTCATAAAGAGTTTCAGGTTTTCCAGTCATATTTTGGCACAAAAAAAATTAAATGAAATAAAATAATTTATTTAAAACATTTTTTATTTAATAATAACCATCCCATTCCCAAATTCACATTATTGTGATAAAAACCTCACATTAAAAACAGTTAAATAAACTAAATTTTTGTTGTTTAAATAAGGTACATTTTTAAAAATATTTCACAATGATTTTATTTTTTATAATCACCATCAATTAAATTTAGTTCAAAAACGACCACAATGTACTGTATATTCACATTTATTTATCTGTGTTTATTTATTTCTTTAATTATAAATTTTTAAAAGAATTTTACACAGGTTGTTTATAATTTAATTAATAATAATAATAATAATAATAACGTAATTAAATCAAATTAAATCAAAAATAAATAAATTGGGCTTCATTTTCTTTATGACCCAGTCTTCCAGTCTCTCCTTTTTTAGATTCACCTGTTCTCTAAGTTTCTTTTAGAGTTTTTTCCTTCAGTTTCTTAATTACATTTTCCACTGAATATTTGATCATGTATTTGAATCATCGGAGTTCAAGGTTAGCATTTTATTGAATGGTAGTGCACTGGTCAACAATTAAACTAAATGATAACTGCCCTGCACACACTCGCAGAGCCTTGCGGTTACTGCCGAAGTGTGAATTAAACAAGCATAGTGATAATGAGTCAAATATAAGACTGCTAGCTCTGGTTTCATAGAAATTGAGGTATAACACAACCTCGTGATAGCTTAGATCACAAGAGTTTGGTTTAAGCTCAGTTGAGATTATATCATGAGTCACTGAGCTTGTGGTCGACCTGAAGTAAAAATGCAACTGAGGTTAATCTTATCTGTTTGCTTAGACAGAATAATGAGGGACAGATGAAACTTGATGAGGTTTGGCTTCTTGAAGCGGGACCCACCTCCGCTCAGGATGATGACAGCCAGGAACAGCGCCATGTCGCTGTCGTCCAGCTCCAGCATGTTGAACTTGACGGAGAACTCAAACTTGGGCTCCATCATTTCACAGAAGGGTTTGCGCAAACTCTTGAGAAACTCGCGGGTCATGAAGATCTGCCCGTAGGAGATGAGGGTGCCGTCTTTGTTCATGAGCGGCGCCATCATGATGATGAGGACTTCGATGACGCCGTACTTCAGGAGCGTCACCTGGTCGTTCAAGTCCAGGTTCACGAAGCCCGGGATGCTCTTGGCGAATTCGGTGACTTCGCTGACGGCTTCGGCCGAGCGCGACTGGCAGCTGTGGAAGAAGCGCAGCTCCACCTCGTGCATGTCGGATCTCCTGTGTTCCTGCATGGGCATCTGCCGGCAGTTGATCATCTGCTCGCCTTCCAACAGAGACTTCATGTCGTGAATAACGAAAGGCTGTGAACAAGAAGAAAGTTCATGCTAAGTGTACGTCAGAATGGCTGAAAAACTAAATTCGAATTTTGTACTTAAATATTATTATATTCGAATTTAAAATGCATAATTTCAATTAGGGTGAAGAAAAGTTTTTGGCTTCTCTCCTGAGGCCACAAGAGGGCGCATCGAGTATAATATTACTAATGCACGTTTATTCAAAGCATAAGATAACATGATGGAAAAAAGTGCATAATGTTTAAAATAATGTTTATAAACCAATTATAATTAATTAAGTTGCTTAAACAAATAAACAAAACAGCAACATGTATGTATGCATAGTTTAATACAAAGGGCGGAAAGCCAATCACACAGAGTACGTTTTTCATTTCAAAACACGAGTTGCATTGGGATGGGGAAAAACCCCCCGCCATAAAGTCTCGAGATATGTTTTTTCAAAGTTTAACTTACATGAATTTTACATGGCTTTCTAAAGACGCGAGTGTGCGACGGTGATAGATGTCCCTCTAGAAAATGCGCGAAATATGCATTCTGTGTGAACGGCTTGGTTTCAGTTTTGACGTAAACAAGATCTTCTCCGCATTGATGAGCTCTTTTCCCGCAATATTTTTTAATGAATAACGCAGCAGCGCCGCATAGTGGCTTCAACTGGATAGGTTAACAAAAACATTAAATGCAACGACACTTACATCATACAACTTCATTTTCTGTAAAGTTGCTTTGCAATGATTTGTATCGTAAAAAGCGCTATACAAATAAACAACGCAGCAGCGCCGCATAGTGGCTTCAACTGGATAGGTTAACAAAAACATTAAATGCAACGACACTTACATCATACAACTTCATTTTCTGTAAAGTTGCTTTGCAATGATTTGTATTGTAAAAAGCGCTATACAAATAAACTTGAATTGAAAACTTGAACTGAATTGAACATCGTCATCGCATCTCGTGCGCAGCTGATAAGGCTGCCTCCTTAACGCACACCTAAAATTCAAATGCAACGTTTTTGCATTCGAATGTGGATTTTTATTTTAAATTCGACGAATATTTTAAATTAAAAAAATTTGAGTGTACGTTACGAAATTTTCAATACAAATAAGAGAAGCTCACACTTAAACGCCGTTTCCACTAACAAACTATGTTGTAGTAATCGAGTCAAACAAAACCAGACTCAGACCCGAGACCATATTTTTTACGACTAGTCGAGACCAGCTCATACGAGTCCAAGTTCTCCTGAAAATAAGGTTTCGGACTCGGACTTGAGACAGACTTGAGTCCGAGTTGGCTCTAAACATGAAAACATAAATATACAAATCCATATCTTGGCATTGGTTGAATATAAACTTCTCAAGGTTTCTCTTGAGAAGTGCTGTTGCAGAGATTTAGGCCCAAACATACTCTATGCACGAAGATTCAAGATTCATTAGCTGTGTCTCAATTCAAATACCAAACGAGTCACAGCGGCTTTTCCAAATCGAAGTCTTCTTAAAACGCGTCCTTTGTTTCCCAGGCCTTGAAGGCTACACCAGATGGATCCTTTGTGACCCAAACTATCCCAAGATTAATTACATGTCAGTGACGAAAGGATTTTTTTTACGGATTACACTTTTAAATGTAAGTATTAGGTTTCAGCTAAATCGAATATCTAACGCTACAAAAACAAACACTTTAATATCCAGCGAGTTATAGCCAGTGTTTGTAGTAACGCATTACAAGTAACGAGAGTTACGTAATCAGATTACTTTTTTCAAGTAACTAGTAAAGGAACGCATTACTTTTTAATTTAGTAAAGAATATATGAGTTACTTTTTCAAATAAGTAACAGAGGCGTTGTGAGCGCTGTGTGAACATGATGTTACTGTAGATCTAGACTAAATGAGAACATGCATTTACTCATCTCACACAAAAGCAGATTCCTCAAAATCAATAAAAACAGATCAGAATATGAAGCAAACCTGCAATAATTAAATATGTTAAATAACACATTAATATACTTTATGCATTTAGTCCCATTTTATTAACCAGTGTCTTTGCTGCTGACCTTCGATGATCCAATTCAAGCATACTAAGCAAAAATGACTTTAGATAAACATAAAAATGTTTTAATTACTGAAGAGTGTTTAACTTTATTTTCCTACGTCCTGTTCTTCATGCAATTCAGAATAGCAGCACAACTGAAAGGTTTGTTTGAGCGGCGCCCTTATTCACGTCACTTCTGGTGTGAAAGGGCTTTTACATTTGCTAAAAATAGAACTTTTTTACATTAAAATCAAACAAGCAAGCCCAGCCCAGATGAGAAAAAGTAACATAGCGCATTACTTTCCATAAAAAGTAACTAAGTAACGCAATTAGTTACTTTATAACGGAGTAACGCAATATCGTAATGCATTACTTTTAAAAGTAACTTTCCCCAACACTGCTGATATCTTACTAAGATGTACTATTATATGGAGATTATACGTTTGCATTAACGGACCAAGGTGAACATGTTTAGACTGTCACGCTCGAAATTTGTATCCGACTGAAATTTACAATGCAACACAATTATGTGGCAAGGGTGCTAAAGCTCAACTGCGAGTTAGTTATATCTAGGTACTTGATGTATAAAACAGCCAGTTTAACGGCACTGACTTTGTTACATGAAGGTAACTCTACCGCCCTCTTGAGGACTGGAGGCTTACAGTACGTCGGCAAAGCATTCATGTTTGCATACGTATGTGTTGAGGGATATTATGATGTGTTCACGGACATGACTTCAAAAATGCTGTTGGACGAAAAGACTTCCTAAGTAATCATTTCAAACATGTCGTTCCACCTCAAAATCAAGTTAGGCAGTAATATGACAGGTCTTCTGCAAATGGGCCTACCAGTGTCAGTCAAATAATTTATGTGTTCAGAATGATAGTCTAACTATAATTCCTCGCAGTGTTTACTCTCCACGCACACTGGAATCCCAAGCTGATCTTTCGTTTTGTGCACATGCCCCGAATGTGGAACTGATCAAGCATGAATTAAGAAGGTTCTGATTTATAGATTTATATCTATACTACTTTTATGTTTTTATAGGACAGTCTTTCTGCAGTCTGTGCCTTTATAAATATTTCTCCTCCAAAGAGAGCAGATGTTTGGTATCATTGGCTGCGTTAGTCAAAACAAGCATCTAACAGCCTTGGTCATATCTCTTGTTAAAGACGTGTGATGCAGGCGTTTTATGTGTGGTGTGTTTGATTTGAACTTATTTCTACTGTCAACAAAACAGGAATGTTCAATAGGTTTCTTTCCAAGATTGTAATAATAACCAGTAAATAATTATTTCATTTAGGCGCACACACACACACACACACACAAGATCTCTGCACGTTCTGAAAGAAATGCCACATATGTTGCAGCAGGAGACCACACAAAGGAAACAACAAGGCACACGAGGCAAAGCGCAGTTGTCTCAGAGCGTAGCATTGAGAAGAGTCTGCCTCGAGTGGTTCAAACAGAAACCAGTTCTCTGAAATGGCAGGGCCTTTCTCATGAGCGCGGGTTCATGCTCAGCTCACCGTTGTGTGACATGCCCACCATCAGGCACTTCTGAAAGCGGCAGTACTGGCACTTGTTGCGACTCTTCTTGTGGATGCGGCAGTGTAGGTCACAGTGGTCGTAGACCAGCTTCAGCCGAATGGTTCTGCGGAAGAATCCCTGCCAAAAAAGAAAAGGAATGTCGTTAGGAAGGAAGGGGAAAAGGCTTTCCTGATGCCTTGTTAGAATTCTTTAAAAACATATCTGATCTATTCAGCTTATTGTCAAGAAGCACAATAGCAGTTCCTATAGACCTGCGGCCTGAACGCTTGCCAGCTGCCACTAATAGTTACGACACACTGTCATTTTTTGGTAAAGCGTGTTTTATTAGTTAAAGGAAAAGTTCAGCCCAAATGAAAATTCTGTCATCTTTAATTCACCTTCCAAACGAAAACTTTCTTACTCCATGGAAACATTTGGGGAAACGTACCGGCTGCTCTTTTACATTCAAATTGCATGCTTTGGATCTTCGAAAAGCATGCAAAAGTACCATAAAGATTTACCAAACAGGGAAAATTTGCGTCAGAACAAAGTGCTGTTTTTTCGGAGTGTTAAATAATGGTGCAAATACTAATAAACTGTCTAAAGTAAATCACCTTGCATGATTTATTTAAACAATGAATCATGCAAACTCTGACAATGCACTAAGGTCAGACGAAGGTCACGGCTTTTCAGTGCAAATCCTGGCATTTTTAACTTTATAACCCCAAAAGAGGGTTTGTGCTGCTGCTAGCTGTTAGTAAACATGGCCCTAAGTATCATACTTGAATGCTATATTGCAAGTCTTCTGTAGTCATTCAGTAGCTTTGTGTGAGGAACTGACTGGAAATTTAAACCTTTATATCCTCATCCGCATATTCATGAGTTTATGAGAGCAGTAACAACGTCTGAACAACTTTGAGTGAATTAGTTGATTCAGTTCACAAAACCTGATCTGTTCACAAATCAGTCTGATCCAGTATAACACATTTTTGCCTGTTCCTCAAACAAAGTTTCTGTATGACTTCAGAAGACTTGTATTATACTTAAAGCTTCAGATCCCATTTATTGCGTGTTGAAGAGCGACCTCCACATTATTGAACATTTGTAGTGTTGCTTCATAGAAGAAAGTGCTATGGGTGAATAATGAAAGAATTCAATTCTGGGGTGAACTGCTCTGAAACACACTTCATTTAATCAAGTCAATTTCTTTTTCTTTTTTTTTTATGACTGGGACACACAAACAAGAGTATTTTTAAGGCACAAATCAGCTAACAGCTCCTTAAAGTAACAAACACACATGTTCACAGTGAAGCATTTCTAAAAATCACTGGAATCACACGGAATATGAATATTGTATAATATGAAAATATACAGTGATTCTCTCTACATATCCTCAGTGTAAATCTGCGCTTCGAATCCAATCTGGGCAGTTAGTTATGCTTTAATCCAAAAAGCAAACCACAGGCCCTTTGAGTGATTTCTGTACGACATGCCACTCGAGTCATTACACACTCGAAGATAACCTGAGGTCTCATGATAGCACACTTTTATCTATATAATATATCATTACAAACGGCCTGCTTTGGACTTTGACCAGAAAACAGTCTTTGTCTTGACTCGAGGTCATATATAGAGAATGCCTGTGCAAATATTATGAAAACCCACACGGTTGGACCTCAACAAGCACGTGCAATGGCAAATGCGCTTTTAAACGATCATTTAAAAAAAGAGCAGAACCAGAAGATTTCCCTCGCCGCAGATTCTTGAGCGCGTCCGTTAAGCGTGTTTAAAGTGGAAACAATACAGGGTGCAAAAAGACGTTGACCGAATCTATTTTTGGTAGACATTTTCATATACTGGTGTAGTCAAAGACTGGCTCCATGCAGTATTTTTAGTAGGTAAAAAATACATACTGATGTGAGAACTATGCACACAGGAAAGAGCCTTTTAAAAGAGGATGTTTTTCGTGCATTTGCTCTGCCTCTTGATCACTCCACTTTTAAATTTAGAAACATTGTAGGCCAAAAATATATATAGTAAGGTGAAACACGGTGGCTTTGTATTGTTAAACAATAAAAGAGTTAACCTGGTTGGCTGAACTCGTCTTTAAGCATTGTGAAGTGATGGGACCTGCATTTAGCCAGTTTCTCTTGTGACCAAAAATGCGCTGGTTCCATTTATAGTAAAGCCCTAGTGTAGGAACATCCCAAATTTAGCATATTCCGAAATGTGTGTTTTTACACAAGCGTGCATAAAACGGTTCTGGCGAAGTCCTTTCATTTTTCAGAGAATGCAGCACATCGAGCGGGATGTGGTTAACCGCAAGATTAGCATTTTTTTTAAAGGATCATCCGGTTGCAACTTCTTCTACACTTTTCATAAATGATAAATTGTTTTTATATTGTGTATGTAAAAAAAGTGTTAAATGTGCATGTGGAGCTCTTCTGAAGCTTCTGTGAGGTGCATCATCAAAGCGCTCAGGTTGAGTGAGTGGGAAATGTGAGCACCTGAGATGTCTGGGTCACCCACTCAGATGATTATTCTTATTGAGACATATCTTTCTGCCCATGTATATTTCTGCCACAGTGGAAACTTGCCGAGGGTTTGCGGTTAAAGTGACAGACAGGTTCAGATGTATCAGGTTGGGCATTTTCAGACCTAATCTGCATGTCTGAGAACCGATTCGATGTTCTAAATTTATCAGAATGACTGGAAGAGCTTGGTGTGTTCGGGGTATTAACATATGCGGCTGTTCAAAGCTCCTGGTGTGTGTGTGGGCGTGGGTGTGTGCGCATTTTTGTGACAAATGAGAACATAAATTTGTATAATGACAAAGGTATGACATA